ATCTATCTATCTTTGTCTCGAGCTTCTCAGTTCGCCGCCAGAGGCCCCCATTCTCGATCTTGCGTTTCTTCCAATTAGACGTTACGCTTAAAGGCTTATCCCGGTATCATATGTTTACGAATGTGGGGAAGGATAGTAACTACGCGTGCCGTTGTGTACGAGATCTTTATTACGACTGGGGAAGCAAAGATGGCGGCATACGAGTAGGACGCTTTTAGAACGGACTCGGTTTTTGTTGTGTTTTTTGCTTTGATTTTCGGTGTTTATATTTGCTTTGAGGTGAGGAAGGAGACATAGAGGTAATTTGGAAGAGGTGAAAGGTTTGGATTTAGCGGATAGATAAAAATTAGACTTTTGGTGAGTGTATGAAGACAAGCCGCTCCCCTGGTTGTACAGTAACCAGGGGAACAATAGAGAGGAGGGAAGAAGGTGAGAGAAGTAGAAGAGAAAGGAGAGAAAGGAGCATAGAAGAATTCAGAAAATGGGAAAAGGAGATGAGCAGTGAAGAGTTTGAAGAAAGAGGAGAAGAGGGAGTTAAAGAGGAGACGGTGTTGCTGGAAGGCGACAGAAAGGAAAAGAGAGAAGAGGAGGAAAATGAGGGTTTGAGGAGTTTGAGGAAGGATTGGGCGCTGGAGTTTCTGGCGGAGGAGAAAGAAGTAGTACTAGCAGCGGCGGTAAAAGAGAGGAAAAAGCTAGAGAAGGAGGAGGAGAGAGAAGAAGAGAAGGAGGGAGAGAGAATGGAGACTGAGGAATGCAAGAAAAGGATGAGAGAAGCGGAAACGGAAGAAGAGCAGCACGAGGATGAGAGGAAGAGAAGAGTGGCAGAAAGGGTAGGAAAGGTTAAGATAGTGGAAAATAGGGAACTGACCAACCAGGAACGAGAACGACTGGTGATTGGAGAGGGTACCACGGTTAAGTTGGTAAGCGTGGAAGCACCAACGATGGTGGCGCTGGACGGTAAGAAGCGGGAGCGTGGGGAACTGCGCGACGACGCCACAGAAATCGGCCATTGTGATACAGAGTGCGTTGTAGAAAGGTCGATCGAAACAAAGGAAGGCGAAACAGTGAAAGACGTTTATACGAAGGAAGTGCGAGAGGACGCTTTAGGTAGTATAAATAGTTATAAGAGGGATAGTAAAGACAATGGTAGTAGTATAGAAAATAAGAAACTAGTAGATAATAGTGTAGGATAGGAGGGTATGGAGAAATAACACTCGAGTACGTTTTAATAAAAGAAAGAGATTAACAATATATATATTTAAGAATGCACACAAAGAAAGACACACAACACTTCGGACGGCACTGCTTTCCGTCGAAGCTACACGCAAGAGAGTAAAATCACGATTGACCCGCAAGTCTTTCGCACGCGCCAAACGCCGTTAAACAAAAGACGATCGCTGATGGAAAAAACCCATCAAAAGACGATCGAACGCCGTTAAACAAAAGACGATCGCTGATGGAAAAAACCCATGTTAACGGTCATTCTATGGAAAAAACCATGACAGCACGTGGAAATAATCCTACAATAGTAATAGGATAATAGAGGATAAGAGGGATGGGGAAGAACACGTGGCAAACACAAAGACGGCGGGTAAAGAAGAGATTAATAGGAGGATAGTAAATGGCAGGGAGTGGAAATTAGAGTTATATGGAGATGAAGTAAAATGGGACGAATACGTGGTATGCGTTGCGTTAAAAAATAAGATAAGTAGATCCAAAAGAAACAATCTTATAAAGATTTATAGATTGGTTCAAGGGGCTGGGGTTAAAATACACACTATCAGGACGGTTGGTTTTAACAGGGCAGAAATATCTACGAAGAAGAGGGAGGAGGCAAACGGCTTGCTAAAAAAGTACAGCAAGAGAGAAGGACCGGTGACGACTTTCCTACCGAGAAGAATGGCGTACCGTAGGGGTATAATATACGAGTGGGAAGACTCGGTCGAGAAGCTACAGGAGGAGGCGATGCCGGGACAGGGAGTGTTCACGTTGGAAAGGATGAAGAAAAGAAGAGTGGTGGATGGAAAGGTGACATATCAGGTGATAAGAACAATAATAATCACTTTTAAAGGCAGCATCTTGCCGACAAGACTATTGATAGGACAGGGGCACATAGGCATAAAAATTGAACCATATGTGGAGCCGGTCAAACAATGCTATAAGTGCCTTAAATTCGGACATTACCAGGCGGCATGTAGAGAGGAAGATAAGAGGTGTGCGATATGTGAGGACAAGTATCATGGGGCGTGTGATAAAAAACTAAAGTGTGTGAATTGTGGAGGGGATCACGGTTCGCTTGCCAGGATGTGCTGGGTGTGGCAGCGCGAAGCTGCTATAAAGAAGGTACTGGCATTCAAGAATGTCGAATTTGAGACGGCTAGGGGAATAGTGGCGAGGTCAGCGGGGGAGAGAGAGACGGGCATAGTGGGAGGAATAGAAGAAGTAGCTGGAAGTAACGGAGATTTTCCAGCACTGGTTGTGAAGGAAAAGAGGGAGTTCTGGGAGAAAAAAGAAGTTTCGATCCAGAGAGAGTTAGAGTTGATAAGAAGATTAAGATATGGGAATGGGAGAGAGAATGAAAGATTTAGGGGCCAGAGAGGGCAAGGGGCATCGTTTAGTGAAGTAGCGAGAAGGGGACTAAACGAACAGGAAGGAGATGGAGGGAAAGAAAAAAGAGGAAAAGAAGAAGAAGGATCAGGAGGAGAAGCACAGGGAGGAGAGAACGATGGCGAAGGAGATTGGAGACTGGTGAAGAGGGGAGAAAAACCCCCACCTCCGTGTTTCAAAGAGAAAATTGACAAAGTCTTGTCAAAAAACAGGTATTTATGCCTGGAATGCAAAGAAAAGACGGAGAAGGCGAAGAAGGAAGGTGAAGGGGAATACAAATCCTGAAAAGAATACCGCTCCCTCATCTGTTGGCGGGGGAGGAACCCGAAGGTAAGTGCGAATATGAAAAACTGAATTTTGCACTGAATAAGAACGAGATGGAAAAGGAGAGGAGGAGGATAAGGAGGGAGAAGGAGATGAATAGGGAGTGGTTAGCAGAGCTTGAGAAGAGGAAAGAGGACGAAATCATGGAGGAGGTTATAAAGATGCTAAACGAGAAGAACTTGGAAGGAAAATTCCAGGAAATAATTAGGACAAGGAAATACAGAGCAAAGAGGACAGTGATGCCTGATCCGAATGAGGATTGGGATGCAGTAACTACCCCCCCTTTTGAGATGTATGTGGATCCAAGAACGAGAGAAAAAATGGAGAGAAAGGCGGAAAAAGAGAGGGAGAAGTTAAGAGAGAAGAGAGAGATAGAGGAAAAGGTAGAAAGAATGAGGGAAGAGGATATAGAAAGGAGGAATAGAATAAGGGAGAGAAGAAGAGAGGAAGAACAAGAGAGAGAAAGAGAAAGGAGGAGGGTGGAAGAAGATGCGGATAATGGAAGGAAGGAAGAAGATGAAGAGAGAGTAGAGGATGAAAGTGTTGAACAGGAGAAGAAGAGAGAAGAGGAGGAGAAATGGTAGAAGCGTTGGAAGAAGTGAGGAGTTGTGAAAATGGAGGAAATATGAGAGTGGGGAGGTTAGAAATTGTGATAAGGAAGGAAGTGAAAGTAAGAGTGATTTGCAAAGAAGGGAATAAAAAAGACAATAGAGTAAGGGCGAGCGTAAGATACGGAAACGATATAAAGCTTAAAAACTATAAGACGATGCGAAATTTAGGTTTAAGTTTTTTTACTTTAGTATGTAAGTTTAGTTGTAAGGATAGGATTAGGATTGTGACCAAAGAAAAGAGATTTATGAGAATTAGTTTTAAGTACAAGCGTGAAGTATATGAGAACGTTAGGGATAGAGTTAAGGAAAATAGGATGTAAGGAAATATGTTGAGTAAGAGACAAACTCTTTATAGGGTGCATTATAAAATACAAATATTAGTTCCTAAGTATGAAATATGAAAAGTTTATGCGGAGATTAGGAAAGGGAAGTGGGTTTTTTGTTTTCTTCCACTGTAGTAAGGAATCAAGAGGAATAGCGTATGCTTATGTTCAGTTTTAGTTCTTTTTTATTAATTTTGTTTTGTGTTATGATTGTCGATAGGAACAAAGACAGTTTCAGTTTAAGTTTTTCTTTAATTTTCTTTTGTTTTATGTTGTTTCTTTTTTATGATTGGGAAAGGAGAAATGGTGTCTGTGGGGAATTGAGTGGGAAGTGGAGAATGAATAGTATTACGTTGAAGGGGGAAAAATGAAGTGTGGCGTATGGAATGCGAGAAGTGTCAGAAATAAGAGGGAGGAAGTTAGAAGGTTGACAGAAGGTTTGGATGTGCTAGCGATAGTAGAAACCTGGTTGAGGCCGGAGGAGATGTTTAGAATACCAGGATGGCATGTAATCAGGAAGGATAGTGAGACGGAGAACAGGAATGGAAGAGAGAGAAGAAAAGAGAAAAGACAACCGTGGTGGGATGAGGAGTGTGAGGAACTGAAGGAGGAAAGAAGGAAAGCGGTGAAGGAAATGGGGAAAAGGCCAACGGAAGAGAATTGGAATAAACTCAAAGAAGCAAGAAAAAAGATGGAGGAAGCGGTCAAAAGAAAGAAGAAGAAGGCATGGGAAGATTTTGCCAAAAGTATAAAATACAAAGGCAATGTAGGAGAAATGTGGAAGAGGGTTAGGAGCTTGGCGAAAGGAGTGGCGGCAGAAGACCAAAGAAATATCGGAATATGGGAAATCCAGAAGCTGGAGGAGGAGGAGGTAAGGAAATTAGAGGAATCAGAATATTATTGTAGATGCGAAGAAGGGGAGAGAGAGGTGGAAGATGCGGAAAGAGAAGAGGAGGGGACTATGGAGACTGAAAGGAATGATGGAGAAGAAACTGCGGGAATAGAGGAGGAGGAAGAGGAGTGGATTGTAAGGGATTTCGAGATGGAGGAATTGGAGGAGGCGTTATCCAGAGTTAAGGGCAAGGCAGCGCCGGAAGAGGATGGTATTGGGTATGATATTATAAAACTATGAACTATGGGATGGAAGGAAGCGATGCTGGAGCTGTATAATGAGGTATGGAGAAAAGGAAGTATACCGGGGATATGGAAAAAAGCCATAGTGAAGTTCATACCGAAACCACAAAAAAGAGCTTTAAGACCAATTTCATTAATGAATTGTCTAGGGAAGCTGCTAGAGAGGATGGTGAACGAGAGAATGAGAATTTGGGCCTCCGCCCAAATCCGAGGAGGACAAAATGGATAGAAATCAGAACGGTTTTAGAAAGGGAAGATCAACGATGGATAATATTGGAATACTAATTAACAATATTAAGGAGAGCTGGGGGAAGGGGAAGATAGTGATGGCTGCGTTCGTTGATGTAAAATCAGCGTATGACAATGTGAATCATGAAGAAATAATTAGGAGATTGAGAGAGATGGGTTGTCCGAGGAGACTGGGAAAGTAATAGAAGCATGGTTGAGGGAAAGGAAGGTGGAAATTAGAAATTTAGATGGTAGGGCTATTCTGATGAGATTGTTGAAGGGATTACCGCAAGGATCAGTCCTTAGCCCGTTGTTGTACAATTTGTATACGACAGGGATAGTGGAAGGGATGAGAGGAATGGGAGTTCGCGTTTTACAGTATGCGGATGACATAGTAATATATGTAGAGATAGAAGATAGAAGGGAAGGGAAGAGGAGAATAGAGATGGCAATGAGTAAGTTAAAAGGAAATTTGGAGAACTTAGGGTTGGGTATTGCAACGGAGAAGACACAAATTGTAACATACGGGGGCAAGAGAAAGAGAGGTAGGGGTGGGAATGAAAAGTTTAATATTGTAGGAGAGAGAATTAAGGGAGTAGAAGCGGCGAAATTTCTGGGGATGTGGCTGGATGAGGCGCTAGACTTTAGGAGACATACAGAGTACGTAGTATCAAAATTGAAGAAAAGAATGAACATTCTAAAATGCATTGGGGGGATTAGGAAGGGAACGGAACCGGAAACGATTGTTAAGATATTCAAAGCGTTGATTAGGTCAGTAGTCGAATATGGGGGGCAGTTCTATATTAAGGATAAGAGGAATAGGGAGAAGGTACAAAAGATACACAATGCGGGTATTAGAATAGCGATGGGATATAGAATGTCGACTCCGATTAACGTTATGGAAACAGAAGCGGGAATAATGGACCTGGAGACAAGGTTGGAGATACTGGTGGAAGGATATGTGGCAGGGAAGTTTTGGATGAGGGATAATGAGGTGATAGAGGCGATTGAGAATAGAATAAAGTATGGGGTTCCGAAGGAAATAGAAGAGGGAAGGGATATGATGGTGGACGCATGGAGAAGATTGGAAGAGAGGAGGGTAGGAATGTATAGGAGAAACAAGGAGGAGTATGCTGGTAGGTGGAGAAATTATAGGATGGAGAAATGTATAGAATTGGAACTGGGCAAGTTGAAGCTGTTCGCAGAGGCGGAAGGGGTGATAGAAATATATACAGATGGATCTAAGATAGAGGGTAGAAGGAATGGGGGAGGTGCGATTGTTATGAGGAGAGAAGACAGGGGATGGGAAGAGGAGATATATTTACAGCGCCGAGAGAGTGCTCGGTATACACGATTGAGATGATTGCAATAGGAAGAGCGATAGAAGTTGCGAATAGAAAGTATGGAGAAAAGAAGGTGCTGATATTGTCAGACTCAATGAGTGCTGTAGGAAAATTGGCTGTGGATAGGGGAGGATATGATGAGGGAGATATGATAGACGGAATAAGGAATAGTGTAAAGAAAAGGAATTTTAGGGAAGAGGGAGAGGTGGAGAATGATAGGAAGGTAGCGATAGCATGGATTCCGGCACATGTGGGAATTGAAGAGAATGAGAGAGCAGATATAGCAGCGAAGGAAGCAACGGGGGGTGATGCGGATTTTTGGGTAAAGTATACGTTGAAGGATTATAAGAGAACGATGAGAGAGAGAGGATGGATGAGATCTAGGGAGAAACACCTTAGACAGGGTGAATATAAAGGTAGGAAATATTATGAGGCGGAATGGAATAATGTGGGAAAGGAGTTCCCATGGTTCAAGGGTATAGGACAACCAGAAAGAAGTACTGTATGTAGTATAAATAGGATCAGGGCAAATCACTATAACCTAAAGTGGTCACTCTTTAGGAAATATATGGTGGAAGATCCTTATTGTGATACATGCGATAGAGTAGAGGATTTAGACCACGTTATGTGGGAGTGTGAGAAGTATGAGAGTGAGAGAGGAGGGTTTGTGAGGAGAATGAGAGCGTGTAAAGTGGATGAAGGGAAGGAGTTTTTTCAAACCAAAGAGATGGGAGATTTCAGGGTGATAAGACTGATAGGTGCATTCATAAAAAAATGTGGCCTGAAACTGTGATAAAAAAGAATCATAGTGAGAGAGTAGGAGGTTTTATAATAGAAAAGAGAAATAGATATGTATATTTTTGTAAGAATTATATACTCGCTAAAAACTATATGCTCGCTAAAAAGGTATTAATAGTTTTTAAGGATATTTGGAAAAGTTGTGAGGAAGATAAAAAAGACGGTAGATATAAGAATAGAGATATATTTATATTTATATGTATATTTATATTTATGTACAGGCGTATGCCAAGGTTTAAAGAAATAGATATGAGAGTGGGTTGTATGAAGGAGCGAGAGAATGGGATGAGGAGCGAGGAGGAGTGGGAAAGAGAGTGTGCAATGAAGTTGGCTGTGGGAGAGCTCGGGGTGAGAACCGAGATGGCGCTGATATGTAATAGTATGTAATGATAGACTACGTTTCCATCGAGGGTTCAAATCGGGTCAGAGTCGGGTT